AGAGAGGGAGAGAGGGGAGAGGGAGAGGAGAGAGAGAGAGAGAGAGAGAGGAGAGAGAGAGAGAGAGAGAGAGAGAGAGAGAGAGAGAGAGAGAGAGAGAGAGAGAGAGAGAGAGAGAGGAGAGGGAGAGAGGAGGGAGAAGGGAGAGAGAAGAGAGGGAGGAGAGAGAGAGAAGAGAGGAGAGAGAGAGAGAGAGAGAGAGAGAGAGAGAGAGAGAGAGAGAGAGAAGAGAGAGAGAGAGAGAGAGAGAGAGAGAGAGAGAGGAGAGAGAGAGAGAGAGAGAGAGACAGAGAGAGACCTAGTCATCACAGCTGGCATAAAGCGAAGTCTTTGTGCTTTTTGTTATGAAAGACGAGAGGATGGCAATGTGCAATAAATAGTAAATTTTCAGGGAAAGCCAACTGTTTTCGAATATTGCAATGAATGAGTTAATATTTTTTCAATATAATAATTTTCCTTAGAATGTTCTCCACATCTTCAACCTAATGACTGCAGTACTAAAAATTGGCTAGCTGCTCATAATGTGGTGTTGTTGGCACAAATTCGTAGTTTTACTTTACAGTAATGTTGATAGGCATGAAGGCCACAGTAACAGCTGCCCAAATGTTGTGCCATGAACGTAACTCTTATCATAAACTTATATTTAGTATAACTGTAATTCTACACATTACGAACACAATCGCCAGAGACTATGCCCCCAACTCCACATCACAAAATATATTCAACAATGTAACTTGCTGCAACTGGGTTTGCCACCCCAATACTCCCCAGGATACACTGTCTTCAACTCCGTATGTACAGCTAGATGGAGCTGAACCCAGAAGCACCAAGTGGACTCAGCTATGAGTGGTACTTTCTACGATTCTTTTATTTTATTTGTGACCTTATTATATCTGCAGATTATTACTTGTACCATAGGATAGTATGGTAGTGAAAAGGGTAAAGAGGGGGAGCAAATGAAGTAAAGCAGAGATTAGAAAAAGAGGATAAGGTTAAAGTAAGGGGGAAGGGCGATTGGATGATATGGAGTATATCTGTGGTTATTGAAGGAATAGGAACACTGTTTAAGGAAAACGGGCAAAAGAGCCATTATGAAACAATCAACAGGTAATAAGGATAGAGATGGCCGTTAAAGAAAAATTGAGAGAATAATCTGGGGAATGTGCTATGGGAACTAGGGAAGATGAAATATCAGGAAGAACATCAGGTAGGGAGGGGTCTGGAGAAGAAAAATTTGCAATGGCAGTATGAAATTAATCTTAATCTAGGAAAACTGAAACAAGTGTGTTGTCTGTAAAAACCATGGTTATCATTCACTAAATGTCCTTGAATTTAAAAGTAAACAGTTAAGCTAAGTTAAGTTAAATCAGATGTAATAAGTCTTTACAACCATTTCAATTGCCTATCTATATCACTCTCAATTCATTATACTGTAATTTCTGATCTTATTATACCATCAACAAATGTACAGTCAGATACTAAAACAGAAATGGTTTGATTTCTGCCAGCTCTTTAGTCCACTATACTAAAAATAAAATTTAAATCACAGAACTGAGCCAAAGCAATTACAAGAAAAAAAAATCTTTATGGTATGGATGCAATAAGTTGGGGCAAATTGATGATAATTTCATGTAGGACAAAAAAGTTACAGGTGTCGGTCCAAGAAATAATCTAGACACGAAAAATAATGCCACAAATGAAGGTAAAAATTTGTGAAAGGCACTGCTCTTAGCCTAAATCCAGGCCACTTGGCGCTCCCAAATATCAACTCAATCTTGCCATGCATATCAAGGTTAAGGCAATGTTTCCTAGAGGGTGTTGGGTGGCAGAGATCCCCATCACCCTCCCCTTAGGCTGTGCCCAAAGGGAACGCCCAGTCACAGTAACTTCGATTGATGAATAAATTTTGTAACATGGAATTGCGGCCTTGGTCTCTGGCGAGTATGGGCGTACTGCAAAGAATTACCAAAAGACCTCTTTCAAAATCCATGGCTGGGATTTTGTAAACAATCAACCGACAAAGATACTAAAATAATATTAGAACACCTTTCCAAAAGGAAAAAAATAAATACTATTTAAAGCTAACATCAATTAAGAAACCCCACAAAAAGTGCAATAATGATGCAATGCTAACTAAGCGCTGTCGGCCCTGATCAACTAAGGTTCATCAGAGCCAAAAGTGTTTTACGTGATGGCTGTCAGTAAGTGTCAGCTGCAAGCATTTGCTGCAAGTCCTCCAGCAAAGGCCAACAAGCTCCATATATTCAGTAATGATATAATATAACCAGGTTCTTTCAGGCCAACACATTCCATCGAACTAGATTATAATTATTGGTTTGATGGCCTTTGGTAAGACAGCAAACAGCTCTGAGTTCTTGGAAATCACTAGACACTCCAAACGCAATTTACTGTTTACAATCAATATACATAACCTTTGTGAACTGCACATAATGTACATGTATAATGTACTTTCCAAGCAATCCATTGATAATGAAAATTTTTGTACCTTTACTGAATAAATAAATAGTGCAAATAAAATACTGAAATTCGCACTAGCTATTTCCGCGAATGTTTCTAAATTATAAATTATAAATTTCAAAGTAAGGCTCCGTCGTGTTCCACCAGCCTGTCTTCCTATGTTTGGAAGGCAAGTAATATCACGGCTTGTAAAATTAAAGGACATGATACGTGATAAGTACATGATAATGATGATTCTATCCGTGCTATTCATGGTATATTTACTCTATGATGTTGATAATTCCTCTTTATATTGCATTTGTTTACTTTCTATAACAACTACAATTTGTAAACCACTCCCACTTCCATCAACAAAAAACAACAAACACACATACAACTGCGTCACGAATCATATAAAATCTACATAGAACAAAACAGATAAACCCTTCTTTTCACACAATCAAAAAATCCTTTCCCTCCCACACACAGTCAAAAAAAACTCACGAAATTACCGCATCGCCATGACGAGACGAGCATCTGCCGACATGCATGGGATAGTCACTTCAGTTTTCCTTTCTGTCCAAAACACAAGGTCCAGGGACACAATGCCTGGCCCTTTCCCGCATCTCGAGAGTCCTCGCCCATCTCAGCGTAAGGAGAAGAGGGAATAATAAATAAAACACGAGGGCGAAAAGGGAATGCGTGGTGCGACGGGAAGGGAAATTCCACAGCGAATCGATCTTCAAGAAAATTTTCGGAGTTGCTGTGATACTTTTGCTCCACACTCTTTCCTCTGTTTCCCACGCCTCTCTTCCTTGTCATTCCTCGGGTACCGTTCTTCCACGTGCGTTTGGACACTCCCCTTCTTTTCAGCTGGGTGTAGATACTCAAGAAATAACATAAACGCCTACTTACGTGTGTTTGTCTCCTCCTCCCCACACGGAGCGAGTCATCTACTTGGAGGTTAAAATGGCGATGTTCCTGCAGTAGGTGGACGGAGGTTATTTTTTCATTCCCTCGCGTCTTTCACCTCGTTCCAGAGGGGGAAATGCCTGTTGATATAATAGGTTTCCCGAGTCTGGTATCAAACTCCAAAAGAGCATCGGCGTTTGCTCTCCCAGATGCGTGTCTTATTTGTTTCAACAGGAAAGGTTCAAGTGAGATTTAGAAGTCTTTGCTGTATGTGTCGCATCTGTGGGCGACTCATTTCAACTGGGGTTTTGCTATCAATTATTCTCTTTCTGTCTGTACCGATGTGGTAATTTAATAGGAAATAATTACTTTATGCTGTATGAACTTGGCCTAATAAAATGACGCTATATCGGAATGCACAAGTGTTCATAGATATAATTAATACTTTACGTCCAAAACTCTCACCTAAATTTTTACACTATAAAGCTGAAAAACTTGTTCCGTCGCTTATATAATAATTATCAAAATAGATTTATTATTGGCATCTTAAGGATTAAATATGGGTGGGCTTTACATTCCAATAATGTTTCCTTGCTTGATTGTTTTCTTGGGAGTTGCTTGTCTAATGCATTCATATTTCTAAATAGATTCCACTTGTATGTGATGCATTCAATGATAATCAGTTTTCTGAGACTAGATTCAGAAATTGTATGTGATTATTTTAGTATTCAAATACGCCAAACACAAACTGGTCTTAAATTGTTGTCTCCTCACAAATGTTTCCTAAACCATGCATATAAAACTTATATCTAACCTGTTTATTACAACTGCTAAAATAATAGAAGTAATAATAATAATAATAAAATCAAACATAAACACTTCAGAATATATAAATGTCTTAAATGTTACATAAGACAACAACAGGTTTCTCTTGCCAGTGTCATCTACGGACCGCCCATTCTACCACATTGGTTCCTTATTGTAGTCCAATCTAGGCAGGATCAAAACAGTTTTAAAGTGTTATAACTGCATAATAACACTGAAAAAAAATCAAAGATTACCAAAGACTATGTATCAAAACTATTCACGAAAACGTAAGGTTTGCGAGCGCCCATATTTGACCAAAAAGGTGACAAAGGTGAAGGGCCTAAAAGTTGACTTACGGAAAGGTAATCGAAATAATAATTTAAAAATTGTGCATTTTTTAGAAATAATTCCCTGTGGTTCTTCACATACTAGAACCACGTAACAAACATCAAATGCACTGATATATTTCCGAGAGCCCGCCGAATGACCCAGCAACGAAGTATTCAGACTTTTTATTTTCCCATTAACGTGTATGCTGTATGTCTGACGTGACTGGTGGAAGCGGGCTAGGCATGAAAATACAAATCTCCCTTTTATTATCCTTATATTCATATTAGGTAGCATTCACATCGAGTTCTCATGTTAGTTTGTAGATCTGTAACTTAATACTGCATACCTCACTCCGTGGAATTCTATACCACTTGCAGAGAGTCCGAATCCCAAATCCACGCCACTAATTACATTTGTACTTACTTTAGTTAAAGATCACAAAGGTCTTGAGTCACCATCTAGTGAGTAAATTATTACGTTCAGGCCTCGTTCTGTGCACCTAATTGTCTTGTACCTATTACAGGCCTCAAATAAACTACCAATGACAAAATATCAAGTAATAAAGAAAATATATATTTCAACGGCCACTTAAGAGATTGGTGTTCAGTATCAAGACCAATAAAAGATTAACCCTGGACAGTAAAATGGATTTTGCCTTTCCCAAATACTTTACCACTGCGAAAGCATCACAAAGGACCTAACAAAAACAAAACAAAACAAAAAAAAATACTGGAATTGGGGGGGGGGTCTGCCTTATGTAGCGTTGATAAGGCAGCCAAGGTCTATATTGCTATTATGACCTTGCGCAAAGCTTGAAATTTCTCATATTACCACGTGCTGGCGGAATCCTTATCTATTACTCAGTTTCTTAATTCTGCAAGAAAATTCCGATGCTCTGGTGCCAAAAGTTTCTTGATTGGTTTCTTACTTTTGAGCATGAAATTTTCTACAAGTAAAACCATTTAATTAGGAGGAGGTTATTAATTTGCATAAATGAACCGAATGTTTGCAGACAAAAAATAAGTTAATAAAATAAAATAAAAGATTGCATCTGCACGTAACTTAGGGCTATGGTGTAACGGGGAAGGCTAGGTCAGTAGCAACTCGAGGTGACACGGCATCCGATCAATTTTTTGGAAAAAAAAGCACATGGGGTTTATTTTGATGACGTCACAAAAGTTACGGATGCTTTGTGAATATGGTCCATCATTTTGATATTTTCAGTTTTCAAAGTGGATGGAAAATAATAATATTAGTGGTCATATTTTCACTGAACAATCCTCAACACAGATGCCATGACACCTCGAGTTGCTACTGATCTAGCCATAACTATTTTTTAGCCAATTAGCTTTTTTATGAATAAAAAATACAACTCAAGTTTTTTAAACATGACTTATTTGTATTTGTAACAAGTTAAATCACTCCCAAAAAGATTAAGTAGTTCGTGTAAAGCTGAATGGTGAACAAGCTTCAAAGCATGGAAAATATACCCGGCCGACGGTTGTACAATAACGGACAAAAGTCATGAATTGAAGCTTTGAATTTGTCTTATCCTGTACAAAAAAAAGTCTGATATGAAGCAAATGTTCGAGACTGAATTCGAAATGTCTGACAAGAGTTTTGATCATGGCTATACCTCCATTTGACGTAATGTATCCAGGATTTCGTAAAAGCTTCCGATCGGTGAATTTTACTCCAGAAGGTAAAGAGCTTTGGAGTCTGAGAAAAAGTTGTAATATGACACATCTTCGAAACACATTGCAAACAAAAAGTCATAGTGAATGGACATTTCTCTAATAAATCAACTGTTAGAAGTGGAGTGCCGTAATTGTTAGTTATTAGGCCTCTATTATTCCTATGTATGATAATAGGCACTGATAGCGACATTAAACATTCCAAACGATACGGGAGTATATATGACATGTTAATTATTAGATAAAGAGGATAAATAAAGAATAAGAATCTACATGTCATATATGAACTAGACAAGTGAAAACAATATGAAATTTAGCGCCAAGTTCGGTGTCAAAAAATGTAGGCCTAGTCCAGCTTGTGTCCGAAGCCAAGATCGTATTCTGGTGAGGGAATATATATCTTTTTTTCTAAGATACTAACTTATATGTGAGTACTAACATGGGCATTAGTTATCTCATCGAAAAGGCAGTCATCAAAGGAAAAGTTACAAATAGGTGAGCAATAAGCATTTTTCACACGAGACCAAAGCCATCTGTCAACGTCACGAATTTTCCAAGAGTGAAATATCACCAACAAGAATGGAATCCAAATCTCCCGCAAAAAAAAAAAAAAAAAAAAAAAAAAAACAGCGAAATCATATCACTATAACGTGCTTTATGAGCTTTCACTTGAAAATTAGACATGTCAGGTCTTTACTATAGGAAGGGACTAAAAATTCAAATTTTACTCTTAACACAGACGCAGAGAAAAATACTTCACTTTATATGCATGAAAAATCATTGAACACTTGGCACCAAATGCATGAAAAATGGTGGAAGCGGAAATAAATTATGACATTCCCCCAGACATGAAAGTGCTCTGAAATCTGATTATAAGGAATATGCAGTTTTTATTAGATGTCAAATACTGGAAACAAAACAAAGTACGCCATTATGTAATACCGGAAATTAGGTTAGATTTCTATGGTTCGATTGGCCAACGGATTAAGTATCTGGACGAACAGGACGAGGAGTTCCGAATGCAGAATTATATTTGTACATAGTTATTAGTTTACTTTTTTCCAGTCCTCTGGTATTTTAATTTTTTTCACTATATATTGTGCTATTTCTATATCCCACTCCTCTCCCTTTTCTCCCCTTTAATTAGTTCTACAGCTACTTCTGATGGACCCGCTATTTTCCTATATTACACATATATCAAATAAATACATGCCAAGCCTAGTTTGCATTCTAATCGCAGAAGAGCACGGGTTATGACGTATTTCAGCTAATGCAAGGGTTTCTAGCAGAAATTGGAGTCCAGCAGCGAAAAAAGATCGTGTTTGCTTATTGACATAAAACACAAACACACTCTCATCCGTAATTTCGTATCCACAATAGGTACATAACTTCAGAGTGACTGTCTTTTTCTATTTATAGGCGTTTGCCTATAACCTAATTGGTCCCATATACATCTAGAGGTAAGGGACATTATTTTGTAGGGGAACATGTTTACTAAAGGGGCCCTCACACGATCAATTTTTTCGTCAATTAATTGATATCAATTTATTGACGTCAATGAATTGATGGAGAAATTGACCGTGTGAGGGGGACATTGATATCAATTTAATTGAAACAATGTCATTGAGTCAATTCATTGATAGATCAAAACTCCTTTGATATTTATTGATGGGTCTTCAATAAAATTGAGCGTGTGTGGGCAAAGCGTCAATATTGATCAATAATTGAGTGTTTTCCCTTGCAGCAGTGAAAGAGTCGTCATCGTAATCATGGCTGAAAAGAAGAAAGAAAGTGAGCGTAAAATGATGATGGAGATAATCGACGTTTATAGATCCTTATCGGCCTTGTGGAAAATAAAATCCGACGAGTACAGTGACCGGGAGAAAAAGGCTGACGCATATTAAATATTGTATGGAAAATATAAAGAACATTATCCAAATGCTACACTGGAAGAAATGAAAAAGAAAATAAATACCCTTCGCACGAATTTCTTTACCCACTTACTCCTCTTCTTTCGCTTTGGAGTGTCCAGAGCAAGCACTACTCCAAGTGCCACAGATGCTTTCATCTCGAAATTATGAATCAAACTGAAAATTGAAGTAAAATCATTGACCGTGTGAGGGCACAGTGATTTCCATCAATTCATTGACGTCAATAAATTGATATCAATTAATTGACGAAAAAAATGATCGTGTGAGGGCCCCTTAAGCCGCGGGATGATGCGATATAATGGACAGTTTCTTTCCGCCCCGACTTTGGCCCCAGCATGCGTACGTCAGCACATCAGCGCTCACTCACAGCTGAGTCGACTGAGAGGGACAGCCGGGCGCGAACCCTGGACCATCCGATTGCACAGCCAGCGCATACTACTACTGAGCTATGCCACTTTCTATAGCACCGTTCTCTTATGCTATAATTGGCTCACATCCTTTCATTTTTTTTCGTGTACACTTCTGCAGCTCTGTCTATAATGATGCAATATCGTGACCCTTTCCATATTATCATCATATTTTCTACATCATTACACCACAAATACTGCTACTGTTAAAAATAATTTTTGTTACTTTTAATTAGTCGTCACTATTAACATATTAACTATTTTCATCACTTTCACTATATTCCCTATCAACATTATTGCTGCTATCACTATTGTAATAAAAATTACCATGGCCGTAAATGCGACAATATTATTTATTACTCAAACAGTATAACATAATTGGAGCCACTAAATAATTGGACTGCTTTACCAACGTACTGAAATTTACTGAAAATTACACTACAAACAATCATATAAGAAGCCATTTCAAATCATTAATAACTTTACGATGGCGGTAATAATCATAGCCACACATGGTAGATAATTCATATCCTACCAATACCTATCCGGGAAAAAACGTGATCCAGTTCGAATATATTGCAGTGCATGGCAAGAAGAGAACGAAAGGAGCAAAGGAAAACAAAAAACGGATTCTCACTCCCTCCTTTCTCCCCCCCCCCCTCTCTCTCTCTCTCTCTCTCTCTCTCTCTCTCTCTCTCTCTCTTCTCTCTCTCTCTCTTCTCTCTCTCTCTCTCTCTCTCTCTCTCTCCTCTCACTCACTCACTCACTCACTCACTCACTCACTCTCTCTCTCTCTCTCTCTCTCTCTCTCTCTCTCTCTCTCTCTCTCTCTCTCTCTCTCTCTCTCTCTCTCTCTCTCTCTCTCTCTCTCTCTCTCTCTCTCTCTCTCTCTCTCTCTCTCTCTCTCTCTCTCTCTCCTCTCTCTCTCTCTCTCTCTCTCTCTCTCTCCTTGTATTTTCTCTTCCTTGCTCATTGGAGATTGATATCCGCATATCCCCCATGCGTGATTCTAGGTTCACCAAGCTTTTTTTTTAAATTTTGCGGCGTGCCCCAGTCGGTATGCAAGTTTAGTGCCCGAATCTGAGGCAAATAATCATATTTAATAGTAAAGATTTAAATAAAATTGGTCACTTTTTGTTGGGTTGCCTGTAGCATATGATAGTGTATGTGATGCTACTTCAGAAGGATATGTTTGCCTATTTCATCTTGTTCTTGCTTATCAAAAGGCGGAACAACGCTATTTTGGCATTTTCTGAAATCTAAACTTTACACGAGTATCAGATATACTTGTCCTACATTACTACAGTAATTACCCACTCATACTGTATATTTTGAGAGCCAATGGGGTTGTGGTCTTTGCTCTAAAAGTAAAGTTAAGAGTTGAAAACCAATGGCTTTAATTAATATATTGCATTTTTTTTTATCCCAACTGCTGGAGTCTTTGGTAGAGGTATACGTGTTTGCATTTCTATACGTGTGTATTATGTATATATTAGTTTATAATTTTATATATATACATACATTTATGCATAAATATATATATATATATATATATATATATATATATATATATATTTATATATATATATATATACATATATACATATATACTGTATGTAATGTGATCAGATGGAGATTGAATAACATAATTATGTATGATAAAATTCAACTGACTATTCAAAATGATTAACTTGTCAATAGTGGTATAAATGGAAAAAGGGTCACAGGTAAGTGAAGTCTGGTGTTGTTTCACCTTAGACTTTCAAAAACCCAAATTTGCAACTAATCCTGTCCTAATATGGATGTATAACAATCAACATAAACAACTGATTACTATAAACAATAGCATTCGATAAATATCTAACACTAATCCAAATGACCAATATGCAATGAATGTCTTTCATAATATGCAGGAAGATCTTCAAAACAGAATAAGCAAGAAGATAGATAAATGGTTTATAGAGATATCTTTATTTTAGCAATTATAATTGGTTTGTGCACATTAAAACAGACATGGATGGATTGAAATACTGATAAAATATAGATACTCTTTATTAAAAGATTAAAAAATGATGCTCTTGATGGCCTAATGATGCAAGAATGAACTAATGTTGATGATGGTAAGAAAAGCAAACAACTTTCTAGCTTTGTTAAGTCTTTTCCAATTATCACTAGATAGCCCCATCTTTTTGTATTTTCTAGGATTATTTTACAATTTTTTCACATCATAGTTTTCTTTTCATTATTTTCAACTGAAGGGCTTCGGGCATTTTAAACCTCTCCTTTACCTATACAAATGGAAACATCCCTGCAAGAGGTTACAAAACACTCTGGATACCCTAGAGATGGTGTTGGTTGAAGGTCTGATGCACACGCTTGCAAATAGTAAAAGATTCCTCTTCTATCCACAGCACACCTACAGTGTCTTCATCAAACACCATAACATGGATAAGATTTATAGACACCCTCTCTGGATATCTGAGATTGCCATATCCAAGGTATCTGGAAACAAAAGATGGAGAGAGGATTTTATTTTCCTAATAGAATGTACATATTTTCTTGGTCTAAGTACAGTTGTCTTGACCAACGAATAGCATCAACCTCGAGGTCAACTCTTGTAAAGTATGAATAACTGATATCAACTATATTGCATATGGCATACCAAATCAATTTAGTTACTATGTTAAAAGTAAAGGCCAGAGCCAAAAACAATTTCCGTCTATCTGTCAAAACTTATTCATCAAATTAATACGGTCCATAATTTTGACATCTCCCCTTAAACTCTTGATGCCACATGAATTTGGATTTAGCATGAAATATGCTGCCTTGACCTCTAACTCTTCCATTCAATCATTCTCTCACTCTCTCTCTCTATATATATATTTGTTTCTCACTTACTCATTTTATTTATTCTCTCACCCATTTTATTTATTCATTGTTTCCCTTTCCTGTCTGCCTGGTGGAAAGCATAGATGGTATTAGCTTCCCATCACTGCTGAATGATCTAAATTTTATGACAAACTAATCACATTCCACTCTAATCTTGTTCTGCTGCACCTCAGTCACTTCTACTATATCTGTGTCATCATGCCATAAAACAAATTTTGAACAAAGATATCCTCTTTGACAGTATGGAGGTACAAAGGAATTTGCACTGGAAAACAGAATCCAGTGGTTTCTGGGACAATTCCAAATATATCTTGTGAGTTATCTCCTCCTTCCCCTTGCTCTCTATTACAGGAGAGATATGAAATGTTACCAGTGAGGAATACAAGATCAATGAAATAGTTTACACCTTATTTTCACTGCTTCTAGAATAACTGTTTTTCATCAACATATTTCATTACTGCTTAAAAGCCATAGTTCATATACTAAATATCATGTCTAGTTATGGTATTGATCTGTGAACACAACCATTTTCACTACAAGAATTTTCTTTTACATACATCAACAATGAAGTTTGATGTTTGACATTCAAATATTTAGGTAAACACTATTTTTTGTACTATATATATTCTGAATAGCTATTATCAAATGGCAACTTGGGCTGTATCTCATAAGTTTGGTTAAAAAGTATATCTTACCTTGCATGACACATGTCTGATGGAGCATCTTCTTGGCAGTCTTGTGGTAGAGTGAAAGTCTGTGAAGTGATGTCTGAAATTGGAACCTGGACCTCCTCCACATCTGAGTCAATCAGGTCCTCAAATTCATGTCTTTCTGGTACATATGATATGGGAAATTCCAAGTAAGCTTCAAACAGTGATTGCCCAGCTTGCTCATATCCATCTCCTGTGACCTGCCAGGTAAGAGACAGCCATTTATATATACACATAAACATATACAAATATCAAATATGTATATATCAGGGTTTCCCAACCAGGGGTGCGAGATATCATTCCACGGCGTGTGAGAAGTATCCATCTTGATGACTGGCAATTAATTTTTTTTTATTACTCCCCTTCAGTTTTCCCATCTTCAAAAAAATCAAAATCAAGAAGCAGGAACAAGAGTCATTGAATAGAAATTCATTGATGAACATTTTAAAGTGTGTTCAGTTATTCTATTATTTCTAGATATTTCAAGCAAGAGTGATAATTCTTTGGAGGGTTTATTCAAACAATTTGAGGCATCTTTTCTTGTCTATGTTTGATTTTTGTTAACATATAAGACAATGAAATGAACTATTTTCTTTTGCTGATCAAATTTAGTATAAATTCACCTGCTTTATCCTTGGGTATACACTGTTTTGTAAAAAATTTATATATATATATATATATATATATATTATATATAATATAATATATATATAGTATATATATAATATAATATATATATATATATATATAGCATATAATATATATATATATATATATATAATATATATATATAATATATATATATATATATATATATATATATACATATATATATATATTTACATGTATATATATTATATATATATAATATATATATATATATATATATAATATAATATAATATGTATGTATATATATATATATATGTATATATATACATATAATATACACACATACACACACACACATATATATATAAATATATAATATTTATATACAGTATATACACACATGAGTGTGGATCTGCCATACATCCTTTTCATACATTATAATATAAATTTAACAGATGTATATACATACCTGGAATGCAGCGAGTTCAACCCCCTTCATATACCTAAAAACCAAAAGTTGTTCTCCGTGAACCTTGTCACTGCTTTTGAACAATCCTGGCATAACAAGCTGTTTTGGGCAGGTTCCATCTGGCATAAGCTCTGGGATGTCTCGAGGGTGCTGAAAAATTAGGCGCTCGTGGATCATGGAGAAGCTGTTGAAGAGAATGTTGGAAACATTATAACATGGTGCTGATGATAAACATTTAATGACATTCCTTGAGAAATCACTGATGAAATTTGAAATACTGCACAACTATAGTACATAATAGATAATTACTAAATCCATTATGCTGATAATACCAAGTCCAAGAAAGGGAAAAAGAAAATCTAGAGGCTTGGAGGTTATCTAACAAATATTTATTATTCTTATTGTATATTCATAACCAGTAACGAAATTCATTCTAAGAAAAGACTAAAATCAAAATATCAAAAATACAAATATCAGAGGGGGAGGTTATGACTCTCAAGGTATTCCTCATAACAAAGTTTTATTCAAAAAATTGATTATATCTATGCAACCACACTCTTTCATTACATCTATAATTATGGAATCATAATAACATGACTGATTTAGAATATTTAAATTTCCTACTAGAGTATACACACATCGTTTCAATACATTTGACAGTCAGTCATCAATGATATTCGGCATTAAGAAATACTCACTCAAAATAATGACTGAGGCAAATGAGTTTTTGCTGATGATAATTCAGTCCCCACTGACGAAATAATGGATGTCTGTATTTCTTTAATCCATGCCCATGTCTTTGAAAATGATCAAATATCTCTTGATCATATCCAAAGTCCTTCCAGACAGCTTGGGCATGTTCCTTTGGGTTGAAGCACAGAAGGGTAAAGGTATCTTTTTTCTAGAAGAAATCAGATTAGAAAATCATTAAGTCACTTTCCTTACTGTTCAAATCAAAGATTGAATGTACCAATGAAATAGAAAAATAAATTTACTATCTCACACAGAAACCTATACCATCTTTTAATGACAAAAAGATATTTCACATGATTACTCATCCTATCAGTCAAAGTCTCTACAATTTGTGACCAGATTATCACCTTTTATATGTGATATATAATGTTGATAATCCCTAATTCATCTAATGCTTTTGTGCACTTCAATGATGAAGAAAAAAGAGTAAAAAATGTAGCTGTACAAGTACTGATAGTGCTATAGTATGCATTAGTTTATCTATTTATGCTTATTCTCTTATACTTTTCAATAATAGAAATATATGCTTCATATCCCCCACTCCTAAATATGAAAATCTAATACTCACCAGACATTTATTTACAAAGAGAACCCAGTTTTCAAAAAAATATTAATTTGAGTCAGCATGCAGCCTACTGGGAGTGAGATCAACCAAAGTAAAAGACAAACAAAATTTATCTAGGCACACTATACCTAGAACATCATCTTGTGCTGCTTACCGTTCCAATAGAAACAGCCCCATGATGAGGACTCATGTGTGGAAGGCAAACATTTTGTGTATGGTATTCACTCCTTTTTAAGGAGAACAGAATATTGCACTTAAGTGGAGCTTCCATATCTTCTGATGGTACTAAATCCCAAGTGTGTCCCTCAATCGCACCATTTGAGTACTGTAGACCAAAGAGAACCAGAAGTTTTATCAGTCTAATATCTTAGTAACAGCAAATTAGTGACAATACCAACCCTTCTGCAAAATAATGTACTGTTCATTAAAGTTGTAGTTATGATAGTTTTATGGGTAGCTGTAAATACATGCCATCCCTGGTATCAATCAATTAAGAAAGATGAAAATAATACCTAAACAGGAATCAAAATATGACTGGACATGAATGAAAGAAACCTTGCTTATTTTGATCAGATACATGAGTTTCATTTTGCTGTAAACCTTTTTGGAAAAAAAAAATGATACTTGACATCATCCATAAGATCCTCTTTGCTGACATGACTTACTCCATATCTGACTTAATATTGTACAATGTACATCAGAACTGAGACTCATCATGCACTTTTGTTCTAAGTCTGTCTCTTCATTTATTTTCTCCAAGATGTAACATTAACCTCATGTTTCAAAATGCATTATACAGGAACTGCCCTTTGACTTACTACGACTTCCGTGAGGCCTCCAAAGGGACCAAATCTGGTCTGATATAACCCAATCAAACAGCCATACTTATGAAGCACTGCAATAAAACCGACTGTGTTATTGAACTGACATGAAAAAAAAACATCAGAAGTAACAGCAGTTAGTGCCCAAGGCTCTTCTAATTTATTTTCTGATTGGAAAATATTTCTATAAACATTTTTAATTGTTCATTAACACCAGATTCATAAAAAAGGTGATTCTACCTATAAAAAATGTGTTCAACTGAAGACTATTCTTATAATATACTGTCATATGTCTGGGTTTGATGAGGATTTTAAACAGAAACTTCAATATATATTCCAAATATATATACACACACGCATACACACACACAATTATATATATATATATATTATATATATATATATATATATTATATATATATATATATATATATATAATATATATAATATATATATATTATATATATATATATATATATATATATATATATAATATATATATATATATATATATATATATATTATATATATATAATATATATATATATATATTATATATATATATATATATATATATAATATATCTATATCTATTATATATATATATATATATATATATATATATATATATATATATATAAATATATATATATATATTATATATATATATAATTATATATATATACATATATATATATATATATATATATATATAATATATATATATATATATATATATATATATATATATAATATTTCTACTTACAATTGGTGTATAACTTCTTGTAATTACTGAATTCTCCAAGTTCTATATCCTTTAAATGAATGACTGTAAAAGAAATGAGATTACTAAATATAACTCATTTAAATTGGCTTTTTATCATGATATTCTTATATAACATAGGTTTACATATAAATGCCAATACCATCCTTACCTCTCCGACAATGCTTTATCCAGATTGAGTTGGACTGGCTGACAGTGTAGAGCAATTTGCAGGTGGCACCAAGTTCAGTAAGATCGTAGGGATTAAACAGGCTCATTATGCGTAACAGCAAATCCTCAGGTAAATCTGTCAGTTGAAGTGTGCCTGACATTTCCATGGTTTTGTCTTGCTTAACTTTTGGTACACACAATTACACCTTTCAGTTCTTAAGATCTGTGGAAATTTTCAGAAAATAAGCAAGCAAAGGTAGTGACAGAGATAAGCAAATGAACATTTGAAATGCTAGAACAATAATCATACTTTTTAAGCAAATACCTTCCAAAGGACCAATACCCCAAAGTTTCATAAAAAAAAAAAAATGACATTTTTTTTCCGGTGGTAATACTTATGCAAATGACTTCCACAAGTGTTATAACCCAAAGATACAGCAGCACCTTGCATGTACTAACACACTACAGAATCTACAGTGTTAATTTTCATTGGGAACAGCACCATAGTGTAAATAACGTAGATCTATAGATTTTTCTTCGGACAAGGTACTAGATTTCTGTGGATTAATACTTATTGCCAATTTCTTTTGACTGAGTAAGTAAGTAATAATGATAAGAAAATAAATGTGCTAGACAGCAACTTTTGACTGAGTGGAACGTAAACTGTTAAGGGGAAACTTTTCTTGGCCCATGAATCTTTTTTTACGTTTTAATCTATATAAAAAAGTGTAACATAAGAAACCCAAGCCAACTTCTGAATCCTGAAATATAAAGAACAGAAAGGTCATTAAAGGATGAGTGAACTTTTGCTTTTCAAGTCTACAAAAATGGTAAATGCAAATCGTAAAAAAGTGGAAAATATACGCTGCGTAATAAACGAAGAGCATCTCGGTTAATTTACACTTATTCGTTTCCCCTTTAACAGTTGGGGAAAATAATGATCCTGCATCAGTGGGTGATATTCAAGCGCAACATCACTGCAACATACACGTACTTCCGCCACCAAGGGCTCTGTCATGTTTATTTACGTTGAGCCAGAAATTAATCAACAATATTTACATAATTGGCAACACCATCTCGCGGGAATTTCGAATGATTGTCACCCGAAACACGAGAGTATTGTAATATACTGTGTAAATGTTTGCGGGAATATAAGATACCTATCCTTTCCTTATAACCTCAATTATTTTTGTACAAGGTTTTGTCATTCGTACATAATAGGACGCTGAACAAAGGAGGCTAGAACATAACACAGAGGTAGACGAAACAAAAAGAAACTATACTTACACATAAAATACTTTGACATGAGAAATACAATATCTAGTAAAAGGAGAACTCACTGGTCACTTGATAATGATAAATGGATGATTATATTAACCATGATGCCATGTATAAAGGGAATAGATATAATTCAAAATGTTTTTTTAGGACTATTGACATATATTGGAACAGAACGTTGCCTTATCGATGATAAAAAACAATATTGTATTGATAAAAAGACAGATGCCTAATTTTCTCCAGGAATTCTTATATGACTTCATAATAATAGGGATCACAACCCTCGCAATTTATCTCCATTTTCGGAAATATTTGCTTTACTCACCTATTCTACATACCTGTCAGTCTCATAATTAATATATACCGTACAGTGCAATTAATTAATTGCAATAAAACGCATGCAAGGGCGCATATAATTTTTTTTGGGGGGAGGGGGATAAGAATAGTCTGGACCAGCTATGAAGACATTTTTTGGACCAACAAATTGTTTAACAAACTTACGTGATCGTTATAGACTTAAAGACACCAAAGAGCTCGTACTCAGAACAAACTTTTTATCTTGAACTTGAACAAAAACAACTCGCGGCGTCGGATTTTTAATTTTTAAAGGGAAGGGATTGCGCTTACACATGCCATCAGTTTTTTATCTAGATTAATAAACTTTCCCCTTGAGAACCGAAATATTCCAAATTTTCGTTTTCAAAATGTGGATTGGTGTGCTTTGTGCATTAACTAGCAAAACATATAAAAAAAATCCCACAAGTTTCGACTGCCAACATTTCAAAATTCCCGCGAAGTACCGCTGACTAAAACGTTGCCAGTTATGTAAATATTGCCCTTTTATCTGTGGCTGAACATATAAACAAATGTGAAAGTTTTTTTGGTTGCGGGAAAGACGTGACATTTTTGCAGTGATTGATGATGCAGTGATTGAATTACACATCACCACTTGATGCAGTGATTCATTCGATGTTAGTGCGCCGCAGACGGATAAGAGGGGAAACGAAATAAACTGATAGTATTAAGAACCCGTGATGAAGATAAAGTGTAAGAGGAGTATATTGAACTGTGAAGTAATTTGTGGGAAACTTTAAAAGAAAGCCAAAAGCGACAGGAGATGAGTACGAATACACAGCGATTCCGAGATCATATCCGTGATCACATGACCATTAAATTTGACATGAAGGTGAGAGGAGAGACTCAAGAGCAATGACAGAATGTATCATTTCCACTTTTCAGTAATAGCAGTATTAGAGAAACACAAAACAGACAAGTAAGGGTTTAAATAGAGATGGTGCACTGTATCTAAAAGAAAGTTAAAAGCGCCTAAAACATTTCTGTGTTTAAAACCTGAAGAAAGCAGAGAAGAATGGGTTAGTCAGTAAGAGGATGCGGGAAGATCAGAGGCAATAGTTTTAGTTTCACAGCAGCGTATCGAATTTAGGAACGAGAAAAGTAGTAGTCAGCAATTTCACAGAACGCGAGGAGATTTGTAATGATAGGACTAAAAATATAAAGTAAATTACATGTTGAAAAACCCCGTCGACTGAGTTAGGTACCATACCCAAGAAACGATCTTTCCGCTTTTAGATTGAAATTACATTCGCAAATGAAAAGTAGATCACCACCCAGCAATTCATATACCCGACCATATTCTAGAAGTTGTTAAACGAGTCACAAGACATTCCCACAGCAACAAAAACACAAGTTCCTTATCTCCGCCAAATTAACATTAACGACACCCAACCCACGGAACCATACACACGTTAATAGCTTTTCTCCTCTTGAAATTTGACGAGCGTGAGATACTGACGTCACCCCTGACTTCATCGTGAGAGATGTAACAGCGACGCGACAACACGTTTACTGCGCAGCTCGGTTGCTCGCCATGGAATATTTCCTAGATATGTTTGAATTCATACTCATCATTACCTTAGTGAGGGATTAGAACGCATCAGACATAATTAGCGATAAATTGTTGTATTTAAAATAAAAGCATGTGCGCCCGTTGGTAACCATAAAAATGTAATATGTGATTGATTATATGAGCCATATGGTGAATTGTTTAGTAATTACATTAGGATAACATCTTGAGATAGCCGTCTCGGAGATTCTAAGCGGTTTTCATGCGCCCAAACTGTTGTAAGCTTGCGTGTGTATCTTTGATTAGAACAATGTCCTCTTGACCAGACGGTGCGGGCTTGTCCTGGCTGCTACGTGTGCTAGTTCGTAGTTGGCAGATTAGTCTGGTCTCATTTCTTAGGTGTTCGGCAATTGGTGTAATTTTCTTCTGTGGTGTTGGGAATGGTTTTCTTCTGTGGTTGTTGTAATAGGGTACATAGTTTCAGTGTTCATGTTGCCATTGAGTGAGCTTGAATTCTTTCCTTCTAGTTGTGTTGGAATGGTTTTCTTCCTGTGGTGTTGGGAAATGGTTTTCTTCCCCTGTGGTGTTTGGAAAGCCCTGGTTTTTCTTACCTAGTGGACTGGTGTTGGCATATGTGGTTCTGTCGGAGTTGGGAATGGTTTTCTTCTGTGGTGTGGGAGAATGTTTTCGCGTTTGGGTAGGGATGTTTCCTGCCTGTGATGATGCAATAAGTATGCGGAATGGGTTTGGATAAAGATGGTTTCGTTACTTGCGTGTGTTTATCGACATAGTTGGAATGTTTTCGCTGTGTGGGTGGTGAGCTTTGGAGCCAGCTTTCATCTTCTGTGGTGTGTGGAACTGTGTTTTTCTATTCCTCGTGCAGATGCTTTCACACGATCCGGTAGATGGTCTATACTGCTATCTTACCGCGGTGTGAGTGGAATGATTTTATCTCTCTTGATGCTGTTTATAAGGTGCCATCAGAATTTTTGCTTCTGAGTTTCTACGCGTCCGTTCTTGAGGGATCTATTCAACGTGTATGTTCGCCCCTTTTTACCTAATGAGTGGTGTTTGTGTCGGCGTCTGTTTCTCGCCGCGCTTACACCCCTCCATATCTATATTACTAAGCCTCCGGTATATTTACACACCTATTTCACCACACATCTCCATACTAATTACAATACCTACACAACCACAAATCTCCCAACGGGGGACAAAAATTTTTTATTTTATTTTCTTAAGAATTTTTGGGGGACTTTCCGTTGCCTTCAGTGGAACTTTACAATCCGACCCCATGGAAACGAAGATATAATAAGAGGTCTCTTTTCATCATATACTATACCCGTAAACCAACACACCGAAACGCAGGCTATCGTTTATCCACTGAAACCAAAGCATTTTAACATGGTGCCAACCCTAGCCCAACTATATACAACATTTTCTATAAACCAGTGGAGTTCTAAGTGTATTCGTCTAGCCTCCCAGAGAACCCATGTTAAAGTACCCCTTTCCTTGCTAGTGTCAACCTACTACCCCTCGCCCATATTCCCTCGCCCCTCCAATATGCCAATAGCCCTCCTCCTCTCACACTTTAGAAAAATGTATATCTTTCCCCGCGAGACCCCAAACGAGCTCTTCTTTCGTTCTGATTATCCTATTATCCTATGTGTTTCGCCCTAATTACACCAGTGGAACTCACCCTTATTGGCTATGTGACTCTCCCCCTATCCTCCCTAACCAGCAATCTGTCGTCACTCTTCCAGCATTCTGGCTTAATCACAGCTAATTCTACCTCTTTTGTGTGATGCACCCGGTTCGTTATTGAATGTGACGATAATAAAAAGCGCGAGAATGGGAAAGGCATGTAAATGAGCAGCGGAAAACGCGAGACAAAAAAGAAAAAAAACGCTCCAGGCATGTTTTAAGATATTTCCCAGAGATTTTAGAAAGGCGGAAAGAAGTAAATAATGTTAAGAAGAGAAAGAGGAGTGAAGCAAATAGAGGTATTAAGATATTGAACTCCTACCCAAAAAAGATTATAAAAGAAGATAGCCAATAACTACATAGCGAAAAAATATTAGATCAAGAACCTTTTAGTCGTAGCTAGAGAGAAATGGCGAGTTACTTAGCATAAGTGTACATATGTTAAACATTCTTACTCTTATCACCGCGCCTCTTTTCTTCCGACCATTTCTTAAAATACACTACATTATAACTCGTTCCCTTTTTCCCTCCAATCATAATTCTCCATAATCTACTACACAATATAATTCACTATAATAATAATATATATACAGGCCCGCCGATGGAAGCCACGTTTTCATCTTCCAACATCTGGCCAAGGAGCTTCACTAACATCATCCACCCAACTAAAATACATGATAGGGAACTTCTACCTCATATTCATATTCTAACCGAGATAATACATTATTGAAAGCATAAGAATAATGCTTATAAGTCAGGTACGATACTGTGGTACTCTTCTCAGCATTGTCCATAAGGTGCAACAGGCTAATATAGCATAGTCAGACTATCGTGTTCAAAAATTGCATTGTAATCTCAGATCAACCCATTAATTCAATAAATGTGTTGTGTAATGCGGGTTGAAAGGACGCGATAACGACGACCGAAACGGCATGTACGTTCTGAGGCGGCGAGGCCAACGAGGGGTACTTGATATAATATCCCTTGAAGATATTTAATCTGGCGGACCCACGAGATCGTAACTTAAATTCTTGAAATAATTTAGATCCTCCCGGGAACCCACGAGGCGATAAACGTGTGTAGAAATCTCATTGAAAAGAATTTAAGATGGTGCCCGACGACCGACGAGCGGTAGACTTGGATTCTTGAGGAAGAGGACTGGTTGCTTATCAGTTGTACACAGACCCACTAGAGAGAGCGTACTTAAAATTACTATGGGAGGAAAGATAGTGTTAGAGTCGTGAGCACGACGAAGACGGTACTAGATAAATATGCATGCTGACGGATATTAATAGAGAATGACTCACGAACGCACGGAGACTTATGTAACGTCTTGTAAATGATTTAGATCTCGCGGACCAAACGAGGGACGCGTATTAAAGTTCTTGAAAATATTTAGATCTCCCGACCCAACCTGAAGACACCGAGTACTTGTAAAAGTATCAATGTGAAAACGGTAGAGTGTTAAGTCGCGACAACGGAGGATAACGGCATACTTAAGTAAGGTTGCATAGAGAAAAATGATAATAGAGTCTTCCGAGCCCAGAGGAGAGAGAGTAGAGAGAAGCGTAGAGGAGAAGAGAAAGAGTGAGACCGATAAGTTCTTGAAATATTCTCTAGATCTCCCGACCACGACGATACTTAGAAATTCCTCTGAAAGGTATTTAAGAAATCTCCCCGGAACCCGAAGACGAGCGTACTTAATTCCTTGAGAAGAAGTGTGTATAAATACCTCGCGACCACCGGAAGCTTACCTTAAAATCTTGAATATTGATAGAGAAGATCCCGTGCACGAAGCCCGACCGACCGAGAGAGACATACCTAAGAAAATATCCTTGGAAACTCACATTTCGAGAAAGTCGTAACCAGACACCCTGAAGCATAGCTGTAAGTCCTTGAGGCAGCGAAGCCTTTAGAACTCGATCCGACCATCCGAGCATCTCCCGAGCACGTCTAAAGTGTTTCTCTTCGTGCTAGCTATTTATTTAAGACGTACCCCTGACCCCTTCGTGGAAGCGGATACATTAAGTATCTATGGCCATAAGATCATACTTACGACTCTCCTCCACCTAACCGAAGCGCTTGTACCTCTCAAACACTATCCACGTCATCCATGATACTCCCACTACCCCTCTCCTCTCGCATTCCCCTCTACTGCCTGTCTCACTCTATCTCTCTCCTCTCCTGAACCCACCACTCATCTACGATTCTCACGTACCCTCATAACCGCGCCTACGCCTCGATAATTACTTACCGTTTCCTTCTGGATTTCACACAACACACCTTTACTAGCTTCTAGCTCTTACCCGATCCATCCCATCGTGTCCTTCTAGCTTTCTATTATTTTAGATCTCTCACAATCTCCTCGACCCATTAACCGTCGGATCAGCCTGAAATTATCTCAGCAATACTACTTCTTCTCAGACCATCGTGCTCTCTCTCGTTTACATACTGCTTCTAGTTTGATTGGTATTTTCCTACGCCCATGAGCGTATCTTAAATATTCATGTGAATAGATTATTTATAGTAGTGCTCCGTAGTATCTGTATCATAATAGTTGATGTAGTCGAGTACGTCTACCCATGAATACTCGTTGTTTTGTGTGTGTCCTCTGTACTAGAAATTATCTTAGATACCCAATCTAATCGTGTGGCGCCCAAAATCAGATTATTACATAACCCTCCGCCATTCCAGCCTACCCTTCATTATGTTAATAGTCCACATCTCTTCATAACTCAAAAGTTTTCACATTTCCCAGTGTTCTCCTTTGCACTTGAGTGCGAATAAATTATATCCCTCATGAAAAAAAAAAGTTAAGAAGAACCATTTACATGCCTATCAAAGAAGCTACTAGTATCAATATTTCCCCCGAGCAGTTTACCTAGCAATAACCGCCCAGAGCGAACGAACCAAACAGGGGTCGGGTAAGCCCTCTAGCCCGAGTAGGTGCCTCATACATTTACCCGAGGATTGCTAATGATTGGTGTAGTGTGTTTGTGTATATGTGATCGTGTGTTGTGTGGGTGGCTAGCTACGCACGACTCCTCGCCCTATGCTGGGCGAAACCTGTACCTTCCTTGTCATTACTCTTAGCCAGTCCTTAGTTGTAGTGCTTGGTGGAACGTTTTTGTGAAACAGTGAGATATTAACGTTTATTAAATGTGTTAATAACTTCATATGCATTATATGATGTATATATGTGGAGTGTGGTGTCTGGGTGTATGTGTGGGTGTGCATGGTGTGTGTGTGTTGTGTGTGTGTGGTGGTGTGTGTTGTGTGTAAGTGATGTGATGTGTGTGCGTGTGTGCGTGCGTGTGCGGTGCGTGTGTCTTGCTGTGGCGGTTGTGGTGGCTTGTGTGTGTGGGTGTGTGTGTGTTGTGCGTGTGTAAGCGCTCTGTGTGCGTGGATGCGGCGTAGCGTGCGTGACGTGCGTGCGTGTGTGTGTGTGTGTGGTGTGTGTGTGGTGGTGTGTGTGTGTGTGGTGTGTGTTGTGTGTGTGTGTGTGTGTGTGTGTTGCGCTGCGTGTGTGTGTGTGTATGTGTTTGTGTGTGTGTGTGTGTGTATGTTTGTTTATGATTGTACACATATTTTTTCACTTCTATATTAACTGTAAACGTTATTTTGCTGGCATTATATAAGACACCTCGTTCACCTTTTTACAGCCACTAATGCTAAGAATCCCGAGCTTGGGGAAGTTAACAGTTACAGAGAACTTTACACTACTCGTAAGTATAATAATATTTTTCTTAGTAAATCGATACCTGAACTTATTGTAATGAACTGTATCTATAATCTTGCATTTTTATATTTCCATTTCCGGATCTCTTCGCTTTTGTTCTTTTCTCTTTCTCTCTCTCTCTTCTCTCTGCTTTCCCTCTCTCTTCTCTCTCTCTCTCTCTCTCCTCTCTCTCTCTCTCTCTCTCTCTCTCTCTCTCTCTCTCTCTCTCTCTCTCTCTCTCTCTCTCTCTCTCTCTCTCTCTCTCTCTCTCTCTCTCTCTCTCTCTCTCTCTCTCTCTCTAATAGTAGACAGTAGTTTGTACAGGAGTCCAAATAAGGGGGAAAAAGGCTCTGGTGGCTCGGTAGGTAGGGTTTTTTATTTTCATTTTAGATTTTTTAAAAATTCATTTTGAGTGATGTATTGAACCAGCTCGTGGACATTGCCTCATTCAAAACCCAGCCTCCCAAGCCTAGATATTACACTGGAAGAATAAAAATAAAGTTTAAATTCAAAAGCCATTGTGACTAACCCATCAACTTCACTTAAGTTCTACACCGGTATGGAGGGATGATAGGCCTATACCAAGTCGGTCCCTACGGCGGCCTCACAGAAGTTAGGGTGAGTCACAACCGTTGGAAACGTGCCTCAGAATTTCAGTGTTATACATAATGAAACAAACTCCTGTAGTTTTTTTTATGTATTAGAGTTAAACCCCATTTCCTGCATCATTTGTCGTGTTGGCGAGTATTCCTGGATAGTGAAAACACTCTGCGTTACGATTTTGTTAATGATTTCTTTTTCTTCTTTGTATATATTCCTGTAGTACTCACGCGGCACTCTAGAAGGCATAACCTGGGACCCACAAGATGTAAAAGTTCCATTGAAACCCAACGTTTGTTTTGCTCTTCGAGGTGGCAGCAAATACGCACAGTGTCTCTGCCTTCCATTCATGGCTCCTCATTCTAGCATCATTACACTCGAGAAGGTAAGCACGTTTGAAATGACCTGGAATAATGAGAATTAACTTGGAATAAAAAAAAGGTCTTGACATACGGCCATTTGGTAGAATTATGAGAGGCCCATTTCAGTGAATATTCATATATACAGACATGTATATACACAGAAATAAAGGCATATCTGTCTATCTGATGTATATGCATTTAGCTATCAATCTCTCGGGTAGATATGCATGTCGAAACTGATAAATATGCATTTAATCCGTATATTTGAATTCTGCATCAGGTTGGGCCTCGCACAATTTTAACAAACCGACCGACAGAGAATAACGTATTTATCACATAGTTACCTAGTTTTATAAATGAAATGCAGTTAGGTGTGTATCAAGAGTTAGTCGCATGTTAACCGCTTATTAGTTCCCTCCCATATGGAAACGAGGTATTGTATACTACATACTGCCGGATACTTTTTGATCCCTCTTGTCTGGTGTAGATGAACTGAAGACGATGTTATAGAAGTTATACCAGACAGCAGGCACAACCCCATTATCTATCTATAACTGAACTCCTATTCCCCGTTAATCGTAGAAAGCAATTTGATAATTGGAAATGAAAGATGACTTGTTCCATAGTTAAGTGGATGAGTAAAGAAATACTAAGAACCTCTAGAAGGCAAGACAGCTCAACTCCACTCTCTATAGTCAGTATTATTCTAATTTTATTAAAAACCAGCTTTGTGTGTGTGTTTGCATGATTAAACGATATGGGAAAATGGCTGAATTTATTTATTGATTATTGCAAGAAGATGATTAGGATACGAAGTCGATGTTATGCATCTTAACTATAGTCACTTTTTACGTATTAATTCCCTTAATACCAATTCCTTATCGAATCGGACATGCGTTTGAAACATTGGTGATGATTATCAAAATTCAGTCTTCAGTCAGTCTATTAACCAACAATCCTTGTCTATTAACCAGTCGACAGTGAATATCAACTTGTCAAAGGCGTCTGTATTGTAGTAAAAAGTAGAGATACTGAACTCTCTTGTATATCTCCATATGATTATAAAACAAATGATATAAAACAAGTAAATTAGCAGTTCTTATATGCCAACGCTACTGAAGTTTCACTACACTTGGGCAACGTCTTCGCTGGAGCTCTTGAAATAATTGGAACACTGGCATAGGCAGGTATTTCGAAGTTGGGGGTGGGGGGGTGGGGGGGCAATGTAAGTTCCTCCCAAAATTGCCAGGGTTTCCTAGGGGCTGCATCCCTATCACTTGCAAGGGGTAGGTCTATGTTCTCAGCCACTGGGTAACGAAGAAATTGCAATGTTTACACGGAATGTACCCGAAAGTTGAGGAGTGGGGGGGGGGGCAGAAAGGAGAGGGGACCGTCGACCCATGCCCCCCCCCTTTTCCTACGCCTATGCTGAAATATCTGCAGTTATAAGAATTATAACTACTAAAGTTAAGGCACCTTATCTTATATTTCCTTGAAGTCCCGTGTATATGAACTGATTCCCAGAAAACTCCAAGAAACTTTTGCATTTTTTTCTTTTCCAGGAGAGTGGGAAATTTTCTCTTCTTTGCTTCAGCCCCATGGAACACGCCAAGGCAGTCTGGAAGGACTTTCAGTATAATCAGACCGAATTCGATGTAATTCATGAACATGAACTCTTTCGTCG